TTGTTCCCTCTTTTGAGCAATTGCATCCATAGGTGTAGGTCAAGTTCATCAAATTGTATCAGCAGTTGTTATTGATTCATGCCTGGATTGTGGGGCTTTATAGGGTGTGATTGTATCTTAACTATATGGCAGCAATTGCTGTCTCTTCTTGGGTAGTATAGGGAGAGAAATACCCCCTATAGGTTAAAGGAGCAACAAAAACAAAATGCAACAGAACAAAAATCAATAGCAACAGCAAAAAAAGAAGGGGAAAAAAAACCCCAAAACAGATTGGATACTGTAGTCTATAATCGTGGAAAAAAGGAGAGGAGAGAGAGAGAGAAGAAGAAGAAGAAAAATCTGTATCCTAATATGAGTATGACTTTAATATTCTCTTTCAGCTTCTTGAAGAAAAAAAAAAAAGTTGGACAGTGAATAAGAAAAACTGTATAAGAATTGTTGCATTTGAGTTTTGGTGCCAGAGAAGAATATTATGAACTGCCAGAAGAACAAAGTAATCTGTGTTGGAAGAAGTACATCCAGAATTCTCCTTAGAAGCCAGGATGGCAAGACTTCATCTCTCATACTTCAGAGAAGGACATGATGTTTGCTAAAGTGGAGGGTTGGAGAGAAAGAGGACGACCCCAGTGATGAGGATTGGCACAGTGGCAGCAGCAGTGGGCTCAGGTGTAACAACAATTCTGAGGGTGACTCAGGAGCGGGCAGGGTTTCTTTCTGTTGTGCATAGAGTCGCTATGAGTCGGAACTAATCTGATGGTGCCTAACTGAAAAGGCGCCCTAGTTTATGAGCTGGGCTGCTAACCGCACAGTCAGCAGTTCAAATCTACCAGTCACTCTGTGGGAGGAAGGTGAGGTTTTCTGCTCCTGTTAGTATTTACAGCCTCAGAAATCCTATACAGGGTTCAGCACACAACCACCACCATCAGGTTACTGTAAAATAGGTGTGGGGGTGGCAGCCGACCCCCACTGGCTTCACAAGCAGGGAGGAGAGGAGTCACCATCAGCATCAGCCCTTGGCCAGTTCCTCAATCAGCCCTTGGCCAGTTTCTCTGAGGCTGAGGTCAGACATGCCTCTGCCCTCCCCCCATCTTTGCCAGTTTTGATGCCACTGTCCTTCCCACAGCACTCAGCTGGGCTCGGCAGTTTCCTGCAGCGGCCACATGGCCACCCAGCCCATACTCACCATCATGGGTTTTCTCAGAGAAGTTCAACAGGTTACAGTTCAGCATGGACAGTGCTCGGCACACAGTTCTTCAGAACATGGATGGCACTGGGAACTGATGGAACACAAATTGAAATATTTCAACAACCTGATGCAGCACAGGAGGCACTCACTCATCTATGCCAGGAAATTTGGAGGACCATTACCTGGCCAACTGACTGGAAGAGATCCATATTTGTGCCCTTCCAAAGAGGTGACCCAGCAGAATGTAGAAATCATTAGCAAATATCATTAATATTCCATACAGGCAAAATTTTGCTAAAGATAATTCAAAACCGGCTGTGGCCATGCATTGACAGAGAATTTCCAGAGGTTCAAGCTAGATTCAGAAGAGTATGTGGAGTGAGGTATATCATTGCTAATGTTAGATGGAATTTGGATGAAAGCAGAGAATACCAGAAAGATGTTTACCTATGTTTTATTAATTATGCAAAGGCCTTCAGTTATGTGGAAAATGACAAGCTGTAGACAGCATTGCAGAGTACTCCTGAACACTTAATTGTGCTCACAAGGAGCTTGTACAAAGACCAAGAGGCAGTAATTCAGATACAAGGAAACACTAAATAGTTTAAAATTAGTAAAGTTATGCACCAGAGTTGAATTCTTTCACCATATTCAATCTGTATGCTGAACACATAAGCTGGGAAGATGGATTAATGAAGAAAAATGTGGCTTCAGGATTGGAGGAAGACTCATTAACAACCTGCGATATGCAGATGATACAACCTTGCTTGCTGAAAGTGAAGAGGACTTAAAATACTTATGATGAAGATCAAAGAGCACAGCCTTCAGTATGGATTGCATCTCAATGTAAAGAAAACAAAAATCCTCACCACTGGACCAATAAATAACATTCTGATCAGCGGAGAAAAGATTGAAGTTGTCAAGGACTTCATTCTTCTTGGATCAACTATCAACACTCATAGAAGCAGCAGTCAAGAAATCAAACGACGTTATTGCATTAGGCAAATCTGCTACACAGGAACTTTTTAAAGTGTTGAAGAGCAAGGATGTCAGCTTGAGGACTAAGGTGCGCCTGACCCAAGCCATGGTATTTTCAATAACCTCATATGAATGCAAAAGCTGGACAGTGAATAAGGAAGACCGTAGAAGAATTGATGCATTTGAGTTATGGTGTTGCAGAACAATATTGAAAGTACCATGGGCTGCCAAAAGAACCAAGAGATCTGTGTTGGAAGAAATACAGCCAGAGTGCTCCTTGAAGGCCAGGATGGCCAAACTTCGTCTCTCATACTTCGGACAAATTGTCAGGAGGGACCAGTTGTTGGAGAAGGATGTCATGTTTATTAAGGTGGAGGGTCAGAGAAAAAGAGGAAGACCCCAAGTGAGATGGATTGGCAAAGTGGCAACATCAGTGGGCTCAAGCATGGCAACAGTTATGAGGTTGGCCCAGGACTGGGCAGGCAGTGTTTAGTTCTGTTGGTACTGACTCAATGGCACCTAACAACAACAACATATATTAGTATACATATAATATCTCTGCACCCAAGGAAGAGTTCCCAAATAAAGCAAGCTTTAACAGGACTGAAAAGAGAAGTACACAACTCTACAAAAATAGTAGAAAACTTTTAACATCACTTTTGATGAAGGATAGAACAACTAAAGAAAAAATTCAACAAAGATAGAGAAACTAAACAGCACAATCAACCAACCTAATTTCATAGATGTATATATGCAGAACATTCCACCCAACAGCAGCCCAGTGCGCATTCTTTTCCAGCACACCTGGATCCAGAATGGGCCATGTAGAGTCAACACCCACTGAGGTGTCCTGTCACTGCTCAGTGGAGTCACAGGTGGAACAGGTGGGGTGAGCACCAGTGCAGCTCCCGAGCCACCTGCTTTCTCTCTGAAGGCTCACTGGGTGAGAGGAGGGACTGAGAGGGGGAGGGTACCTTGGTGTCTGGCAATCGGGGCTGCAGGTGTGCAGGAGTTTGTGCCACCAGGTAGCAGAGGTGGAGGAGTGGGGGACCAGGTGAGTGTTTCTGGATTCTTTCCATTGGCTGTAGCCAGCAAGTGGGACCTCCTTTTTTTTTGCAGTTTTCATATTGTAGCTTTATTTTCCAATGTATGTGACTGGTAGAATAAAACAGATGACAATGTTCAGCCATAAGATTTGGTCTAGAAATATCTTTTCAATAACAACTGAAGGAATTCACACAATTTGAAAATGATATAATGAAAAAAATGGATAAGGAACAATGAAAATATTAAAAATAAGTGGTTCATAAATATTACTTAGGTATCTGTATCAACCAAATCTACTCAAAAGTGGAAAGTACGATAAATCTCTGATAACCTAATTAAACATTTCTCCATATTTTCCTGATTTAAAAAAAAAATTTTTTTAAGGTTTTTATTGTGGATTGAGTGAAAGTTTACAGGGCACATCATCAGTTTCACATTTAACCATTCATATGACTTGTTTCATTACATTATTATCCCCTCCATACATCATTAGTTAACAGTGTTTCTCTCTATCCTCTTTAGCTATTTTTTTTGGGGGGGGGCGGAGTGAAACTTTGCCTTTTTGGAATTTACAGTCTCGGCTTTTAGGGAAGGTTTTTACATTTATCTGTGGATATCCAGGGCTCATGTATCTGATTACTAACAAGCACAACTGAATAATCAGATGAGGGACAGTTTGCTATGCCTGCTAGGTGGCTAAAGTCTGATCCTCAGAGCCTATGGTTTGGACGGTCTGCAACGCTTGGCCCACAGGGACTTGAACTCCTGACCGGGTCTGCATGGTCTGCATGAGATTCCCCCTTATTTATTATTTGTTTAAGGGACGCTGCCTGTCTTAGGCGGTCAGTGCGAATTCCTCCATCTTACCTGTCATCGAAACTCATTGCAGCATGGCAATGCCTCTGTCTTAAGTTGCCGAGGTTCCACGTGATCCTTACCCGTCTCTGGCCACACGTCCAGCATAAACAGCCGCCATCTGAAGAAGGCAGGGAGGGACCTCCTTTTCCTGTGGATATATGTCGGCGCAGGTCTTCTGCGTCCTGTTGCGAATGCTGTATGGTTAACCTTCTGTGTTCCTCACCTGGGACTGCTACTGTCTCTGCCTCCAGAGGACCGTATCTGTGCTGGATCAGCTGGCAGGGGTCTTCCACTCCATCATGGTGAGTGTGCAGTCTCCGTCTCCATGCTCACTCACTGGATGCGCAGGTTTCCAGGAGTGTCCTTGGTGCCGGTTACTCTCAGTTTCTCAAGTCTTTGCTATGGAATGATGGTGGGGTGTGTCTGATTAAACGGCCATATTTTTCCAGTTCTGCTTTCTAGATGTGTGTTCAAAGCTTTTTCATTCAAAAGTCTTTCTGTTGTAATTTACTGAACAGAAAGGTCAGTTTGCTTAAGTGACGTGAACTACGCAGTAGCCATTAACCTTGTAAATTCCCGTTAGTAAGTGCACGCCAGCGGTACAAGACTGACCTGGAGCCGAGCCTATAAGCAGCTGGAGGCCTCAAGGTGTGAGCCTTGGCCATGGCAGTCACCAGGTGACTGAGAAACTTGCAAGTCCTTAAACCTTCACGGTGTGTCAGGGATGGTGAGAGAGTTGGTTAATGCACTGCCCATCAGATGTCAGGCCTGCCAAACCGAACTGGGCAGTGAACTCAGCATGACACTGAGTGAAGGCACAAACAAGTCTCTCAAAAAGCCAGCTTCTCAATAAGCAAAGGCTTGATCCCAGAAGCTACCTTCAGAGAACCCCAAGAGTTCAAGGAGATGGTTTGGGGCACAAAGGGCCCTTGCTGGCCCCAGGGGAACCAAGTCTGTGACATCTCGGGAAAGTAGAAGACAGTCCCTTCGGATCTTGGCCACAGTGCCAAAGAAATGTCATGGAGTAATGACACAGAATCCACTTAAAATCAAGATGAGAGATTTATTGAAAGCAAAAAGACAGCTCAAGCTGGAGAAAGACACTGAACTCGCAAGTGCAATCCAGCCGCCTGCAGCGGGAAGTGCGGAAACATATTTAAAGGGCACAGAGAACTTAAGGTCCTAAAACGTAAATCATTGGAAGGCAGGCTGTCTTGAAGCAGGGATTTAGAAGGAATTAAGTCTCTCTCTTTCCTAGTTATAACTTGATTGTTGCAAAGCTGTGTGAGGATGGGGTGGTTTCCAGGTGGTTACAATATACTTAAAGGTCAAGGTCTCTTCTCAGAGACTTTATTTCTAATTTTTAACTTGGAAAAACATTTAAGGTTTTCTGTCTTAACTGTTCTGGACACTGTAGGATAAACACTGGACCGCAAGGTCAATTTGAGCCGTAAGGTGGTAGTTCAAACCCACCAGCCACTCCTCTACTACAGGGTTGCTGTGAGTCGGAACTGACTCAATGGCACTTAACACCACCAAAAAAAAAAAAAATGGGATCTGGCACAAACCTCAGGCTAGCCATTTCAGATTCTACGAGACACCTCAACTTTAAATTCTCTTACACACTGTGTACTAGGAGCGATCCAGGAGAGCTTCCTGGAGAAGTAGGCAGGACTTAAGAAAAGCTCACATGTGTGAACTTGTAGCAGACGGGTCATCCCACTGGTGAGATCGTGACTCAGCTGCAAACCCATCTTGCCTAAACCTGGGTTTTCATTGTTTTGCCTTTGGTTGGTTGTGGTTATGTGCCATGGAGTTGGTTCCGACTCATAGCGACCTTGTATAGGGTTTCCAAGACTGTAAATCTTTATGGGAGCAGAGAGCCTCATCTTTCTCCCATGGAACTGTTAGTTTTGAACTGCTGACCATGAGATTAGCAGCCCCATTTGTCCACTATGCTATCAGAACTCCTTTGTTTTGCCTTTAGTTTTCGATACTGAAAATTTTTTTCTAGTTTGTTTTGATAACATTGCACACCATTTATTTCATTTTTTCCTTAGTTTATTTTTTATTGACTTTGAAATATTTACTGAACAATTTTAATATGCTAGGCAGTCTTCTGTATGCTTTATGTGGATTCATATATTTAATAGGACATTGCCTTCCAATGATGAAAGTTAAGTAACGTCAAGGTTTCTTAGCTAGTAAGTGAAAAAGCCCTAAGATTCAAACCCTGGCAACCATCACAAAGTTAAAAAAAGAATTCCCAAGGACTCATCAGAGGAAACCAATTATAACTTTCAGCTGTTTCTTCTGTAGAGCTAAATACTATGTTTATATTGCCTTTTCTTGATTCCTCAGCTTTGGTCTTTGTTGATTTCTGTTATGGTACAACAGAATACCCTCTTTCTCCGTTCTTACAGCATTCTCATATATTACGATTTCTAGACTCTCTTCGATGATTACAATGACAATAGTATGCTCATACTCATGCTGCTGGTTTCATAAACTATAAGGACAGTCCCTCCTGATACTCCACTGTATGGTGAGAATCTTATTTACTGAAAAGCCAATGTATGCTGATGTTTTCTTTTAGAGCTTTTTTGTTGTTCCTACAATTTCTGACTGCATCTGTTGCTTTTTTTCCTCCTTGAACCATTTGCCTTTATCATATCCTTAGCTCCTTTAAGCCACTGTGGGGCCATATTGTCTGTCTCCATGTCTGTGTCACAGTCTGTGTGGATTGTCTTGAGACCTGATGCACAGCTGCCCTGGGGCTCCAGGGGTGACTCCGCCATTGTTTGGATCACCCTGGTCACCATTCTAGTGACATGTATATTTGAGGAACCTCTTAAAATTGGATGCATATGAGATAAATTTTCTATCTTTACGTGTCCAAGAAAGGATTCATGAGGACATTTTGTACTTCCAGTTAGACTGACCTAAGTCCTGAACAAAATCATAAACAAAAAAGGCAAATCTGTTAACCATTGAGTCACTTCCGTGTTACTGACACCCACGAGGAGAGGAACAGAGAACCCACTGAAGGAGCTCTCTGTAGGAGTCACGTTGGAGGCCCTAGAGAACAGTAGAATTGCCTGTCCTATCAGGTTTCCATGGCTATAGTCTTTACGGGAGCATTCTGCCACATCTTTCCCCACAGAGCAACTGATGGGTTCAAACTGCCAACCTTCCTTTTTTTTCATAACATCCGAGCACTGTAACCACCAGGGCTCCTGACAGATACTGACTTGTTTAAATGTGTTTTTATAATTTTACATACGATTTATTCTTCTGCCTTTCTTTCCCCATCTCTGTGTTTTTTTTCCTTTCAGTGGAGCTGCATTTTCCCAAGGTGAACTGGGCCAGACAGCAGGCATGGGTCATGAGGCTTTATAGGCCGACTCCTGGACACAGGCACCTGATCCTGTGAGGCTCTGGGAAATGCCTTTTCTCCCAGCTCACGAGGTGTCACTGAAGTCATCTCTTTGTTGTGTGACTATAAATACTCAAGTTGGATTGGTGTCTTTTCATTCTTCCCCTTCCTGGGAGAGCATTTCCCCTGGTGAGTTCCCAGGGTCCCTTCATCTCTTGCCACATCCTCTCTTGGCAGCTGTAATGGGCCTCAAACCTGACACCTACTGAGTCACTGTGGTGGACTCTCTGTTCCTCGTGGGTGAGGTGTCAATAAAGACGACATATTTAAATTTCAAGAGACAATTAAATACTTGTGATGCTATAGGATAAGAACTGGTCCGCAAGTGTCGGTTTGAACCACAAAGTCAGCGGTTCAAACTCACCAGCCGCTCGTCAGAACCAAGTCGACAGCACTTCACAACATTTAAAATGGGTGAGCATGGATGTGTCCTTTATGATTCATGTTGTTGGGAGGTGTTGTTGACTCGGTTCCCACTCACAGCGACCTCGTGCACAACAGAAGGAAACCCCGCCCAGTCCTGCACCAGCCTCCTTACGTTGTGTTTGAGCCCAGTGTGGTAGCCCATGTGTCCGTCACCTTGAGAAGCATCCTCTTTCTCACGAATCCTCCCCTTGACCCAGCAAGATATCCTTCTCCAGGGACTCATTCCTCCTGATAACATGTCCCAAGTATATGGCGAAGGCTCACCACCCTCTCTTCTAAGGCGCTCCAAGACAGATTCGTTTGTTCTGGCAGTCCATGGTAATTTAGTATTCTGCACCAACGCCATAATTCAAATGCATCAACTCTTCTCTGGTCTTCCTTACTCATTACCCAGCTTCCTCATACATATGTGGTCAGTGAAAATACCATGGCTTGGGTCAAGCACACCTTAGTCCTCAACGTGACATTTTCGCTCTTTAACACAGATTTACTTAAAGCAATACATTGATTTCTTGACTGTTCCTGCTATCTTGGTGTTGATTGTGGATCCAAGTAAAATGGAATCTTTCACAATTTAGATCTTTTCTCCGTTTGTCATAATGTTGTTTATTGGCCCAGTTGTGAGGATTTTTGTTTTCCCTGCAGTGAGTTCTGATCCATACTGAAGGCTGTATTCTTTGATCTTCATTACTAAATGCTTCAAGTCCTCTTTGTTTTCAACAAGCAAGATTATGTCATCTATAAATCATAGGTTGCTAAGAAGCTTTCCTTGAATCCTGGTGCTGTGTTTTTCATATAGTCCAGTTTCTCAGATTATTTGCTCAGCATGTAGATTGACTAAGTGTGGTGAAAGAACCTGATGCTCTTAAGCCATTCAGTGTCCCCTTGTTTTAACAACTGCCTTGTGATCTAGCTGTGTATAGGGTCCACATGTGCACAGTTAAGTATCCTGAAATTTCCATTTTTTAAATGTTACCCATAGTCTGTTGTGACCCACACATATTGAACGCCTTTGCATAGCCAGTAGAACACAAGCATCTTTCTTTTTGCCAAGATCCATCTGACATCAACAATGATACCTCTCATTCCACATCTTCTGAATCTGACTTGAATTTCTGGCGGAGTTGAATTTTCTTTGAGTTCCCTCACAATGTACAGCAGCAACCGTTTTAAAATGGTCTTCAGTAACCTTTTACTTGCATGTCATATTAATGATATCGTTGGACGATTTCTGCATTCTGTTGGGTCACCTTTCTTTGAATGGGTTTAAATACGGATCTTCCAGGTAGCTATCTTCCAGTTTTTTTTCTTGCATAGATGAGTGAGTGCCTCCAGTGCTGCATCAGTTTGTGAAAACATTTTGACAAGAAAGCTTGGCTTTCTTGCCAGTGCCTTCAGTGTAGCTGGAGCTTCTTGAAATACACTGGTTCTTGATTCCAT